AAAAAAAGAATGTTCAATTTGTTTCTGCTCCAATTTCCTGCTGCTGTTTAGGAGGAGGTGGACAGAAAAGAATTGATCATATTCAAGAATATAATAACAATGAACATATATTTATCAGTGCAGGACTTTAAGACTTTAGGTCTGGTCTTCTTCCTTTCTCTGCTTTTCAGTCTCTGGCAACAATGGCAGGGAGTTGGGGCAGACAAATTGAACATTCCTTTTCATGCTATTCACATTAAAACTGATCAACTAAAGATTTAAAGAAGTGAAAAAAAAAGGTAAATAAAGCATTACACAACATAAAAGGATAAAGATTCTTAAAGCTGCACATGTTTTCATATATTGGAGTTTTTATTTGTATCGGGGTTTGTAGGTCCTTACCTCTATTCTAAATCTATACTAATTGCTCTACCTCTTTGAATTTTTTCTGTTTATGTTTGACATTCAAAAAAAAAAAATTCTATTAGTGCTATTTTTCCACCAGTATGTGCCCACTTTGTGTCTATGTGTCAGATATTGGGAATTCCTCAGTGTTTCAGATATTTTCATAACAATTATATCTGTTATAGTGATCTGTGATCAGTGATCTTTCATGTTACTATTATAATTATTTTGGGGCGCAACAAACTTCACACATATAAGATGGCAAATTTAATTAATCAGTGTTGTGTGTGTTCTGACTGCTCCATTGACTAGCTGTGTCCTGTCTCTCTCCCTCTCTTTGGGCCATCTTATTTTCAGAGACACAATTATATTGAAATTAGGCCAGTTAATAGCCCTACAATGGCTATTCAAGTGAAGGAAGAGCCATACATCTCTCATCTTAAGTCAAAAGTTAGAAATGTTTAAGCTTAGTGAGCAAGGCATGACAAAAACCATGGCAGGTTGAAAGCTAGGCCTCTTGCACCACAGTTAGCCAAGTTCTGAATGCAAAGGAAATGTTCTTGGAGGAATTTAAAAGTGCTACTCCAGTGAACACACAATAATAACAAAGTGAAACAGCCTTATAGGTGCTATGGAGAAAGTTTTAGTGATCTGGATGGAAGATCAAACCAGCCAGAACATTTCCTTAAGCTAAAACATAATTCAGACCAATGGGTACTAACTTTCTTCAATTCTGTGAGGGCTGAGAGAGCTGAGAAAGTGTCACAAGAAAAGTTTGAAGCTAGCAGGGGTTGGTTCATGAATTTAAGGAAAGATGCCTTCTTTATATGTAAAATAAAAGTGTAAGGTGAAGCAGCAAGTGTGGAGGGAGAAGAAGCTGCAGCATATTCTCCAGATCTAAGATAACTGATGAAAGTGACCGCACAAAACAATAGATTTTCAATGTAGATGAAACAGCATTCTATCTAGGATTTCATAGCTAGAAAGGAGAAGTCAATGCCAGGCTTCAAAACTTCAAAGGACCGGCTAATGATCTCGGTAGGGGCTAACGCAACTAGTGATTTTTAAGTTGAAGTCAATTTTCATTTACCATTGCAAAAACTCTAGGGCCCTTAAGAATTATGCTACATTTATTCTGTCTGTGCTCCTGAAAAGGAGCAACTAAGTCTGCATGCCAGCACATCTGTCTATGGCATGCTTTACTGAATATTTTAAACCCATTGTTGAGAACTACTGCTCAGAAAAAAGACTCCTTTCAAAATATTACTGTTCATTGATAACACACCCAGTCACCCAAGAGCTCTGACGGAGATGTACAAGACAATTAATGTTGTTGTTTTGCCTGCTAACACAGCATCCATTTTTCAGCCCATGAATCAGGGAGCAATTTCAACTTTCAAGTCTTATCATTGAAGAAGTATGTTTTACAAAGTTATAGCTGCCATAGGTAATGATTCTTATGATGGATCTGGGCAAAGTAAACTGAAAACCTTTTGGAAAGGATTCAACATTCTAGATGCTATTCAGAACATTTGTGATTCATGGGAAAAGGTCAAGAAATTGATATTAACAAGAGTTTGAAAGAAGTTGATTCTAACCGTCATGTATCACTGAAAGGAGTTCAATACTTCAATGAAGAAAGTAGCTGCAGATGTGGTGGGAACGGCAAGAGAACTAGGATTAAAAGTGGAAGCTGAAGATGTGACTGAATTGTTGCAATCTCATGATAAAACCTGAACAGCTGAGGAGTCGCTTTTGTAGAGGAGCAAAGAAAGTGTTTTGTTGAGATGGAATCCATTCCTGATAAAGACGCTGTGAACATTGTTGAAACAACAAAGGATTCAGAATATTATATAAATTGGGTGGGAGGAGGGTAAGGAATGAAATATCACCCTACTGGATAGTATGTACACTGTTTGGGTGAAGGGTACACTAAAAGCCTAGATTTCACCATTAGGCAATATAGTTATTGAACATAAACACACTTGTACCCCTAAATCCATAAAAATAAAAAAAGAAATTTCAAACATAAATAAATAGGAAGTGCATCAATAAAAGTAATATTATGTAAACTTAGTTGAATAAGCAGTGACAGGGTTTAAGAGAATTGGCTTTAATTTTGAAAGAATTTCTACTGTGGGTAAGATGCCATCAAACAGCATCACATGTATAGAGAAATCTTTTGTAAAAGGAAGAGTCAGACTTTATTGTTGTCATATTTTAAGAAATTGCCACAGCCACCCAAAACTTTAGCACCATCCTAATCAGTCAGCAGCTATCAACACCGAGGCAAGACCCTCCACCAGCAAAAAGATTTTACAACTAATTGAAGGCTCAGATGATTGTTAGAGCATTTTTTAGCAATAAAGTATTCTTGAAGTATGTACGGTTTATAGTTATAATGTTACTGCACAGACTACAGTATAGCATAAATATAACTTTTTATTTACTAGGAAAACAAAATAATGTGTAACTTGCTTTATTGCAATTTTTGCTTTATTGCAGGAATCTGGAACTAAATCTACAATATTTCCAAAGTATGCCTACATTCTGACAAAGTAAGTCATCTGGCTTTCAAGGGCTCTGCTCATTTGAGTATCTGACATTGAATTAGGAATAAAATTATCAGCACGTATCAAGTAAATAGTTGGGAATTCAAAATGTTAGCATAGTTCACACAATATGGTAATTTTGGCTTGTTTTTATTGTCTCGTTTTAACAGACTGTCTGTTAAAAAAATCTTAGTCTTCATGGTCTTGTCTTCTGTTGGAAAGTTCAGTTCCATTATTGATTAGTTATGATACTTATGTTCATGTTTGTCTCAAGACAGTGCTGAGGCGTTGCTTTCATGATAGCCTTACTCCGGCATAGCTGTCAGTCACTGATGTGGATTAGATGGCTTAGAGCTGAGGCAATTTGGGAGATGAAGAGCTCGGTCTGAGCAGCTGCTGGTGTGTCTGACTGAGGCTAACCTTCATTTTCTACTGTATGATATATTCATCCTCCACATCTTAGGCCTCTCAAATCCAGGCTCCTCAAAATCTTTATTAAAGTTGAACTTAACAGTGGCCTTATATTTCACTCCTTATCCCACAATTTATGTGTCTTCTCATTCCTATATCCTGGATAGCTGGGTTGTGTGTTTGCCGGTTTCTCTAACTAGGCATGTGAAGAAATAGGTAAATGGCTCTTATGGCAGGCTGACTAACAGCTCTCAAGATGTCTACATCTTAATCCCTGGAGTTTGTGAATTCTCCCTTCTATCACAAAACGGACATGCAGATGTGATTAAATTACAGATCTTCAGAGGGGGATATTTTTCTGGATTGTCTGGGTGGGCCTAAATGTCATCACATGTCTTCACAAGAGGGAGACAGAAAAAGATTTGATTACAGAAAAGGGAGCAGAAGATAAAATGACAAGAACAAAGAGGTTAGGGTGATGCAAGGAACAGGTCATATCCAAGAAATGCAGGCAGCCTCCAGAAGTGAGACCAAATAAGCAGGTTCTTCCCAGACCTCCAACCCTAAAGAAACCAACCCTGCCATCACTTTTACTTTACCCAGTCAACCTGATTTCAGAATTCTGATCTCCAGAACTGTCAGAGAATAAACGTGGGTTCTTTTAAACCACCAGGTATGTGGTCATTTTTACATCAGTGGTGGGAAACTAAGGTAATTCATTTGTGAAACTGTCCCTTTTTTTCTACCTCCATGCAGTTCCAAGCTACCAGAAAAGTTAATTGTTTATTTCCATTTGCTGTTATTTTTCTCTACTTTATCATCTTCCGTTTTGCAGATGAGGAAGCTCAGCTTTAGAAATCCAATGTGATTTTCTCAAGGGGGCATCATTAGAAAGTGATAGAATATTTGGTGGAATCCCTCTCTCCAGACTTCCAAAGCTGATGGCTTTTCTAACACACTAAGCCCTTATCCTGAATTTTAGCTTTCCCTTCTCCCTGTGGGATGAACAGAAAGCAGGGTGTCCCTCTCCTTTTGAGTGTCTATTTTACTGCAGAAAATTTCGATATAATCATGACTCTAGGAATGGGCTGTTAACTTACAAATGTTTGGAGACTTCTTAAAGTGTTTTTCTATCCCACTCCCTTTTGATTCTTGTAGATGAAAATAGAATCAGAGAGGCAAAAATATCATCCTAAAAATTATTTCACTATTGGACTCTAAGGTCCATGAGAACTGGATGACTAAGACTCTTTCACAGGTTTGGGTCAGTGCCACATTTTTTATCATTTTATGTGGGTATATTCCTATTGCTTATACTGACTTGTTTTTCTCTTTCTAGGCTTTCTGTTTCCATTTTAGGTACAAAAATCCTTCTGATTCTTTCTCTTTCATGTCCATCTCCAAAGTAATGTTGCTACAAATCTATTATCAGTGTCAATGATGATGTGTGACATTTATTAAATGCTTACCATGTGCTAGATCAAGTGCTAGGTATTCCTGCATGTATACTTTTCATACTTAAAACAACTCTATGACTTAGGTACTTTTACTACTGTTCAGGATTCTAAAACAAGTAAGTTACTTGCTTAAAGTCCCAATGCTAGCAAATAGCCTCATGGGTGTGATGGCACATGCCTGTAATCTCAGCTACTCAGGAGGCTGAGGCGGGAGGATCACCTGAGCTCAGGAGCTCAAGGCTGCAGGGTGTTACGATGACATCACTGCACTTCAACCTGGGTGACACAGCGAGACTCTAAAGCAAAAGTATCTCATTTTAAAACTCATGCCTTTCTTTGTGCTTTCTTTGAGAACTACTCTTTCCTCACCCATCTCTAGGAAATCTTGCCTCCCAGCCATTCTGTTGCTGGATAGCACTCATGTGGCTCTGTGGCTACCTAGAAACTCTGCTGTAATTCCCCATCTGGCCCAACCTTTTGAGCAAACCATCTCAACATTTTCTTCCTCATTCTTCCTGTCCCTAAGTCCAACAGCACTTCTGTTTTTCCAGAGCAGCTGGCCTACAGCAACCATTCAAAATAATAAAAAACTGAACACTCTCAATCCCACCCATGTGAGAACCTTGCTGAGAAACTATGAAGAGTCAGACTTGACAGCAATAGAAAGTAGAGTCAGCCCTAACAGCAGTAGAAATTCAGAGTGGGTTTCACATGAACAGAGTAGCAACTGATAACATTGCCATCTATTTTTTAATGTTTGCTTTACTTTTTATAAGGTCTCAAAGCATTTCACCACATGGTCTATTTTTTTAACAGGGTAACCCACTGTCTTCCCCAGTCTCCACCAAAGGTTAGGACTCAGTGGATTAAACAAAATACTGTTACAAACAGTGACTTGATGAATGATGCTTAGAAACTGCATTCTATTCCTCTTAGAAAATTGGCCCAGTCTCATTGCTTCCGAGAAGCATGATATATTTTTTTAAATTATTTATTTATTTTTTAAATTTTATTGCATTTTAGGTTTTGGGGTACATGTGAAGAACACGCAAGGTTGTTGCATAGACATACACATGGCAGTGTGATCTGCTGCCTTCCTCCCCATCACCCACATCTAGCACTTCTCCCCATGCTATCTCTCCCCAACTCCCCTCCCCCCGCTGTCCTTCCTCTATTTCCCCCCAACAGACCCCAGTGTGTAGTGCTCCCCTCCCTGTGTCCATGTGTCCGAGAGGCATGATATTTAAAGAAATGCAAAAGAACCTTAGTGAGGACTTTCGATAAAGGGTAAGGTCATGGCCCAGACTTGTTTGTTCACTGAGAGTGACTTCAAGACCCCATTGTCCATGCTAACACATAGCAATGTTCTTTTAATTGAGCCCCATATTCGCTATCATGGAGAGTAAGTGAGAAATGAGAAATAAAATGCTTTCATTCTCTTCCATCAGCTATTACCTCAGTGATGGCACTCATAAAGGTGGCATTAGAAAGAACTGGAAAAAAATCATCATTACTCTTGGAGCCATAAGAAATGGAGATCCAAAAGATTATTATTGGTAATAGGTTCACATTATAACACGTGCAATGATTGTGGGTTTAGACTGGATGATTTTGGCTTAGTGATGGTTTTTTAGCAGGACCCATGTGCCAGCTGAAAAGAAATGGAATCTCTAGACTACGGGGTGGAACGAGGGGCTTTGTTCATATAAGGTCCCCAACATAGGGCCTTGCAGCAATGTCTCACTGGAAATAATAATTTCTTCCTGCATCTATTCTGAAAAGTCCAGCTAGAGATAAGTTTCTGTGCTTACAAGAATCTCAGAGCACAGGGGAGAAAGACAAGGCCAGGTGAAGACAAGGTGTACAAATGAAATCTGTCTAGCTCGAATGAGCACGCTGCCCAAAATCTATTTCAGGAATCTGAAAGCAACCGCTCTCTGGATTGTTCTGTTCACACTCAGACTACAGCTGATGCATTATGTTTCTGCTAAAACCTGAGTTTACCTAGCCAGGAGCTTAAACAAAACAAAACAAACAAAAGACCCAAAAACATTGCCATTCTTACCCCGGACAGGGGGGGATTTTAAATGGCAACCACTGCTTAGCCAAAAGCATACATTCCAAAGCCTCC